GGTGTAACACATACAGTTCTTGGCTTTGTCTATTACTTTCCTGCATAATTCAATGTATTTACTTCCCTTGGTTCTGGAACTTTCAGATTAATTACTGTGATTTTTAAGATTTTATGTATAATACACCTTATTGCACCTTTATTTTTTAATAGAAGTATTTATTTATGAATATACTTTTATTTCAGGGATCAAGATCTTGAGCCTGGTGCCCCTTCCATGGGAGCAAAAAGCCTCTGCATACCTTTCCAGCCTCTCTGTGAACTCCAGCGTGGAGAAAGATGTGTGTGCGGCAAAAACCCTGCCAAGTTTTACACCCTATTTGGTCGTAGTTACTAAATTGTTAGTGAAAGAACCTTCCTCTTTATCTGTGAATTGAACTTTTTTTAATAAGACTGAAATAGCCCCTTAAACTTAAATCGGTTTTGTGACTTTTTACATAATTCAAAGACAAAGCCATAAACCATAACCCCCCACCCCAATTGTCAATCTTAGGCTAGCAGTAATTCACAGACTTTTCTGTAAACATCTCTAATAATAAACATGTATTGTGAGCTGTAATATGCTGTGGTGGTTTTTTGCTGTGTTGCTCAGTTTAGCATGCTACATCTACTTTCTAGAGAAAACATCTCCTTTTAATTTTGCCTTTAAATCTTTCAATTTTCAGTAGAGACTTGCTGCTAACCTGTAGGCTTGGTAAATACTACCCTTTTTGCAAACTCCCTCTGGAGTCAGTTGTTTCAAGGAATATTTTCATAGAAACATAGAATGGTTTGGGTTGGAAGGGACCTTAAAAATCATCTAGTTCTAACCCACCTGCCCTTGATGGGGACACCTTCCATTAGACTAGGTTACTCAGAACCCCATCCAGCCTGGTCTTGAACACCTCTGGGAATGGGGAGTCCAGAACTTCTCTGGGCAACCTGTTCCAGTGCCTCACCACCTTCATAGTAAAGAATTTCTTCCTAATATCTAATCTGAACCTACCCTCTTTCAGTTTAAAGCCATTCCGTCTTGTCCTATCACTACCTGCTCATGTAAAATGTCCCTCTCAAGCTTTGTTGTAGGCTCCCTTGAGGTACTGAAAGATATTTTGAGGTCTATCTGAAGACTTGTCTTCTCCAAGCTGAAAAACCCCAATTCTCTCAGCCTGTCCTCACAGGAGAGGTACTCCAGCCCTCTGAGCATTTTTGTGGTCTTCTCTGGACTCTCTCCAGCAGGTCCATGTCTGTCTTGTGTTGGGGACCCCAGAACTGGATGCAGTACTCCAGGTGGGATCTCGCAAGAGCAATGTAGAGGGGAGAATCACCTCCCAAATTTTCACCCCGTTGTAAAACAAGTTTGAAAGGCTTTCTTAGATTAAATGCCACATTGTTAGCAAGATGCAGGTGGATGCCATTTCTTCCGGATATTTTGCAAAGCCTGTTTCTCTTATTTTATAAACTGGCCTTTATAGCTGTCTGAGAGTGACACTGCAGTGAGTAATGCAAAGGCAGAGGTAATGCAAAGAGAGAGATTTTCCATGCTAAATATTTTAGGCTGTGGTTGTATCTACAACATATTTTATAAAATCTTCTTTGCTTTTCCTGTACTTGCTAAGTGTTGCTTTAGCAGAGGAGGCTGGATGTCACAGAGTTATGAAATTATTTTAAAAATAACATTGCTTCCACTTTGGGCACAAGATTGGCTTTGAAAAAAAAAAAGATAGCCCTCGCACAAAATAACTTTTGGAAGACATATGCATAATGTCTGAGGTTTTTATTCTCCTGTATGGTTTTAAGGCTGTCTATATAAACCCCTTTCCCTGAATATTGTTGAGTAAAAACCTGGGAATTAAAAAGTTGGACTAGTAAGATCCTCCCCCAGCTCTTACTGGGACAACACTCGGTGGCTGCCTGTTCCAAACCCCTACTTTTATGTAGTAGCCATAGACTGAAGCATACAGGAGACTTACAGAATGCTATTCCCAGATCTTCACCCCCCTCTGCTTTTCAAAAACATGCAAAATATTTGCTTTTGCCTGGATTCCTGTGGTCAGCCTTCCTGGTCGAAATTTTGAATATTAAATTTGAACCAGTGGCCTGTCCAGTTTAGGATCATGCACCTTGTGATAATACCCCAATTTTCCCACAGAAAAGTACAAAAATGGTTAAATATTTCAGATCAGCTTGATCAGAGTGCTTGAACACTTAGAAATTCTCTGTAATATTCCTTATGTGGTGGTTAGTCCTGAAGAGTTTGCTTCAGTTGCATCTTAAGATCAGTGCATGCATTCATCTTTGGTTTCGGTTGACAAACCAGAGGAATGGCCCTAAAGGGCTATTCTGTTCTGGTAGAGGTCTCTCCTGGGATGCTGCCTCTAATGCTGGCTGGGATTGTACTTGGAGAAAGAGGGTGAACACCAGAGTGATGTTTTTTCAGCCTGAAATGATGGGTAAGAGTAGCCTTCAGAGGGATTACCATGGCAGCTCTGGTGCTGGGGAAGGGGAAAGGCAACAACCCTCAGCTTCAATGTCTGCAGGTGTAAGAGACAGGAGTGTGCCAAGGTTTTTTGACAGAGCAAACCAGATTTCTAAGAGTAGATGTGCTCTTTCAGCTCCCATTGAAATGCTCTACAACACCCATATTTTTAAAATGAGTGGAAGCTGTTAAAGCTCAGAACAAAAGAAAGGCAAAACTAAATGCAGCCTCTAACAGTGCTGCAGCCGTATCAGTTTGAACTAACAACCAGCCTTCAACCAGTTGATCAAATTCATGAGTAAACATGTTGACACACTGTTCTTAGAAATGAGTTGTTCTGAACCTACAGATGGGTTGGTTTGAAGCCAGAGATTTCACGGAAGGCCAGCCTTTGCTTTTTCTTTTGTTTTTCCCTTACTTTTCCCAAACATGTTTCTTCCTGGCCATAGTAAGTGCCTGGAATGTGGATGACTCAAGTGCAGATCTCCCTGTGACTATCTTCCACAGGGAGGCTAATGTTTGCCTGGGAGAGATAATGTTCATGTCAAGTATCCTTTCAACAAAAGCACAATCTGTGTTATCTGTGAAGCATTATAGAAAGAAACTTTCAGACTCTTAATAGATTGTCTGTTAGAAAAATAGGTGTATTGGAATTGGAATAATACACCACTGTTGATTAAATAATACTGCTTTATGTTTATAATAGAATTGCAAATTTCATGATGTTCCTTAGTTCTTGTATATTGATAAATTTGGGTTGAATAGTAAGGGGGAATGTAAGGGAACTGCCTTAACATGGTGCTAGCAGCATCTTATTAAAAAAGAGAGCATAGGTGAGCAAAGGAAGTGCTTCATTTAGCTCTTGTTTTGGTAATCTCAACCTTGTGTAAGGCAGGAATTTTGAGACCTCTGAACTTTGACCTTCGACTGTTTCCTTGAAAGGAGAATAACTTGAAAAAAAATTCTCACTTTTCATGCTCTGTAGTTACGATAATAAAATACATAGTTAAACATCACTTTAATACAAGAAGGAAAAAACTACTATAGAAATAGCTGGAATAGAAGTAGTAACACAAGTGGGACACGATGAAGAGGAAGAGGAATAGATACCAATTTTCGATTTTATAATTAGTTCTACTAATTCACCCTTCCAGGGTGAATAATGGTGTTCTTAAAATGAAGAGGAGGGAAACCTCCAAGTTGCAGCTGCAGTGTGTAGGTAGACAAATGAACAAATGTTAAAAAATTACATGTATTGACAGTCAAGGCTTCTAACAAACTGGACTTTAAACATAAATATTTTGGCAGTTGAAACCCTGTGAGCAAAAATCCAGATGAAAATTGGGGGTGGGTGTTTGAGTTTTTAACGTGAAGTTAATTCACCTTGGGAAGTCTGAGGTCAGCAGGGACAGTTGGTTAGCTCAGGTTATCAGTATTATTATCTTATCTCTCCACGGCTGTACTGCATGTAATTTTCTTCCGTTTTAACTGTGTATATATGTACAAAGATGGGAATTTTAAACAAAAACCTGGAGCACAAACTTTTCAGGAAGGCACCTGGTCTTATGGCCCATATTGCCTAGTGTGCTACAGGTTTTCTTCGCTGCAGTTTCTGAGTATGTGTTAACTATCGGGAGCTCAAGAGGCACTACAATGAGGGACAAAAAATGTTACTGCTTCAGGATATTACTCTGTTCCAGAAATGGCACAAAGTACAAGCAAGGACTTCAGCAGCTCTTATTTCCCCCTTCATTTCTGGTTGTGCTTTCCCCAACTCTGACTTTTCCATGCAAGCCTATGAGGCTTACTTTGGGATTTTGAGATAAGCAGGGTTTTCTAAATGGGAAATAAACAATGTGGTTTATTGTTAAGCCTCAGCTTCCATGTGTACTGGCTGTTTGTTTAGCAAATAGCCTCCAAATTTTCTCTATTTCCATGGGCAATGTTAAAACATGACAAAAGAACAAGAAGTTGAATAGTTGTTGTACTAGGTTGCTGAAATGAAAGATGAATTCAGTTGTCTTTGAAGCTTGCTCTATGTACGACATCTTCAGTGACTCTCACAGGTTTAGCATGTTCTTACAAATAATATCCACTCAACATGGATTTAAAATGTCTTCTTCCACAGGTATGTAGTAAGATTTTTTTCAGTATTAAAATTACTGCCAACAGAAATGGCAGAAACAAACGTGAGAGGAGAGTTTTGTGCAAAAGAGAGGCCTTGTCTAACCACTTAAAATTCTGAGCCACCTTCTTATGCTCTCGGCCTTATTCAGTTTTTTAGGACTCTGCCACTGAGTAGAGTAGCAAGTGCTGGTGCTCCCAGTAGTCTCCCTTGGCTTATTTTTGGTTTTGCAGGAAAAAAAGCCTCCTGAGGGTGGAACACCTGCAGGACTGGAGCCCTCAGGCTGCCTTCACATGACAAATCTTGCTAAACTGCCCTTTAAACTGATTTATTGCTTTACTGCTTCCTATAAAAGTGGCTCCCACATGTGAGCAGCACTGACAGATAAAGGGCAGAATCACAGGCAGTGAGTTGCTCCCCACGCAGCTCTGTCTTGCTGAACCTGGGAGTGAGGGGAAGAGAGCAGCAGAAATGGGCCGCTACTCGGGCCGGAGCATGAGGCTCATCGCCATGTGTGTGCTGAGCCTTGTCATTTTTGCTATTGAGATCTCCGTAGCCTACGTGGGCAATTCTCTTTCCTTAGCCTCAGATGCCTTTGCTGTTCTCTCTCATTTGATCTCCATGATCATCGGTTTGTTCGGTGTCAGGTTCAGCCGCATCAAGTGGCACAAGGCCAGCACTTTCGGCTTCAGCCGAGCAGACGTGCTGGGAGCTTTTGGCAACTCTGTTTTTGCCACTGCTCTGATGTTTAGCATCTTCGTCGAGGCTATCAAGAGGTTTATCAATCCTCAGAAGACTGAGAAAGTACTGCTCGTCCTCATTATTGGGGTTTCAGGTCTGTTCTTCAATGTGTTAAACTACGTTATCTTCATGGACTGCTGTTATTGTCGTGCACCCCGCGGAGACACTGAAACAGGTAAATAGCCTCATGTGGTTGCTCAGCCTTCCCAGCCCTCTACACTTCTGCTTTATGACTCTTATAAAGACTGTTTACTGCTTCTCTGAGATGGGCATGTAAACCGTAGTTTTCTTCATTCTTTTGTTAGTGAGGGTAGTGGATTTTGTGCCTGAACCCATGCATGTTTCCAGTTACCACCATATGTGTTTATCAGTAAGTAATGTGCAAGCAGGGTATGTATTGTCTTTCTAAAGTGTACAGTGATCTGCAGGAGAAATTTTCTCTCTAATCCACTGGCTGGCTAAACAAGGGACAAAGTGTACTGCCACCCTGAGGAGATACTTGTTATGAAATACCTAATCCTGAAATATCAGTCATCCACAGTCTCCACTCTCAATATTTTAGTAATTCTGCTATAAATTTTGTCAAAGATGTGGTTATCTTTGAGCAGTGTTCACAGTTTGTGAACTGACTGAAAAAACTGTGACTACGGAGCTGAAGTATTCTTTGCTGATGTTTGTTAAACTGTGCTTGAGAAAGCATGCAGAGGAAAAACAGGTTCTCTGCTACAGAAATCTTTTGCAGAAGGTTCTGTTCAATGCACAGAGGTTTGGCCTTTTAGTTTATTTGTCCTAGCATAGGAATTTAAAATTTCTTCCTTTGGGAGGAGAGATGGGGACTGTTTTTCTCATTCCTGCAGCAGCTATTTCACTTTCTTTGATGCATGATACATGCGAGTTCTTTTTCTCTCTCTGTATGTTTTTATATACACATACAAACATATTTCTTAAGAATAGTAATATTTCAGTTGAGATAGGAGCCAGATATTTGCAAAGTGTTACCTGAATGTGCTTTGGGGAAAGCTGAGAGACCCCACCTGAAAAAGCAGCTTCTGTTATATGCTGTTATATACTGCTCTAGCTGAGGTGAGGTAAGTCCTGTGTTTGACTTCCAGGCTTTGGAATTAGAAATTAAAAAACTGATAGTTTATATTTTAGTGTTTAATGTGTTTTGTTTTAGGACTTGAATTGGAAAATGTTTCTGTTCATTATTAAAGGTATCTGCAGATCGTATTGAAGCTTTAACTTTCCTGGTGTATAACATTAAACCCAGATGCATAACCAGTATTGGTGCCTGTGTGTTTAGATGCCCAACTGTTTAACATTTGAGCTACTCTTAGACTAAATTTGTGGCAATATGTAATTAGCTGAGGGATTTAATAGGCTTTTGTGTTGGGAACTGTCAGCAATTCCTGACAAAGTTTCTGTTTATGGTGACTTCTTGGAAGACAGCTTCTGAAATTGTGCTTCTAGGTGAAGTCAGGGAGGAGGAACACATCAGCACTTATAAGGAAATTAACTGAAATTAATGGCAACTGTGCAGCTAAATGATGTTCTCACTGAATTTCCAGGATCCTACTCCTAATAAATCTCTGGGACAACACAGCCATCCCTCTCTGTCCAATAGACTTTTGTCCAAATACCTGATAATTCCACTTTGCTTTCAACTGAATTTAAGTTGCATGAACCAAGGATGAATTTCGTACCATCCCATAAATATAGTGTGTAGATTGGCAGGTGGTTTTACCTCTCTGTTTCTGGTATGGTGAAACTTCCCTGCTTGCAGTAGTGCCTACAGGTAAGATAATGCCATTTTATACTGTAGAGGGAATGCTCCTTTCTTCTGGACTTAATTTTGTAATTCCCACTTCGGTAAAATTTCACATTTATTTCCTCTAATTCTCTCTATATTCAACCTGAGTAGGATTTTTATTACTTTTCTTTCAGAAGAAATGTTAATCCCCAAATAGCTGTACTCTGAAAAGTATACTCACATGCTATACATATATATTATGTATTAAAAAACATGGAAAAAAAGGGATTCCATATCTCTTTTGTCATCATACATATGAGGAAAATATGCTCTTTCCTGAAGATGGAAGTCAAAGCAAATTTTCTAGTGCATCAGCAGCAGAAATTCAAGCAGATGGGTATGGTTTCTGAATCTTGCTGATGCAGTCCAGCTGTCCACGGGCGATACCTTTAGTGACACCCGAGGAGTCTCCTCACATGGTTCACTGAAAGGTAAAGATTTTTAGAGTAGCCCTCTACCTCCTAGGCTTTCTAGGGAAAGGGGACAATTGCCTTCATATCTCTGTTCCCCAAGTAGGAATAGATTTTAACAGCCTTCTCTTCTCTTGTGTGTGATTGTCTGAAAAACGCAAAGCAAAAAAGAAATAGAGTGGTTCAGTTGTCCAGTGCTGTATTGTGGGTGCTGAGGGCAGCAGGAGCACCTAAATCCACTGAAACAAATTCTTCCTCCTGTATTAATGCTACAATTAATCACCACAGTCAACAGTTCATCTCATTTCTCTGTTGCATGGTCTGCCATCAGGGATGGAAAATGAGCTGGTGGGTTTCCTGGATGCTGCTGACAGCAGTGGCAGAGTGAGATGTGCCTACAATGAGCCTTGGTAGTCAGGTCTGGACACTGACTGAGTTGTTTACAGGTGCCAACCCAGCTCTCCATCCTTTTCCCTTGTTCAACATCTGTACTCCTCATTTAACTCATTGCAACATCCACACCTCAGGGGCTCATCTTAGTACAAATATTCTTGTTAAGTAAGTTTTTCCAAGTTGCCCTCTCTGCTTACCCAGACAGAGCCAATTCCCTCCTCCACCCACTGACTAGACTTGTTTTGCCTCTCATCCCTTACTATTCTGTCCCTCACCCTCCTCTTTTTTCTGGTTCTTGCTATCCTTTTCCTCTGTGTCCTACTTCCTAAGTCTTCATCTGCTGCCATTCCCTTTTGTCTCTCTCTCTGTTGTGCAAATTCCTGTCTGTCCCCTCTGCCAGCTGTAAGCACCTGTGTCTTCCCACCTGATTGAATTAAGGTCTCTCTGTCCCGTAGGTCCATCTTTGCACTTGATTCAGACAAGCGTAGTTCCCCACACTGTGTTAGGACTAGGAGGAGAGGTCAGCAAGAGTACAGGGAGGATGTGCCCCTGTTCTTTCTTTTGATGCTGACCCAGAGCAAGTTACTACAGGTATAACAATATTTCTACTGTCTCTAAAGGAACTGCTGTGTAGTTGCTGTTGAGCCAGCTGGGCCATCCATGGCAGAGGCCATCATAGACTAGTTATTGCTTTGACTTGAAATCCAGGAAATACTTGTCAAAACAGGGAAAAATTAAAGCTTCCTGAGGAAACTTTTCCTAGGAGTTAAAATTCACAAAAGACTTTTCTTGCTGCTGGAAATGACAGAGCAACTTTAGCCAGAGTTTTCTGACAATTTCGAAATCTTGTATCTTATGCAGAAAGTTTTTGCACAAAGGTGAAGAATATGCCAAAGTAATTAGCAGCTGAAAAAAAATTATGCTCTTATAATAAATACCAGGCAATTTTAATACTGACCATGCCCTTTATAGTTAGTCATAAAAATACAGAAGCCTGTTTTACTGCACACAGTGATCCAACTACTCTTGTTCATGTAGGTCAGTGTAACTTTCTCTTCTACTCATTTATACACAGTTTTAAACTGTTAGAGGGATCACAGTTTGAAAAGCACCATGTTAGTCTGATTGTAGTAATTCTCTGTTGTTTGTCTTGAGAAAATTAATAAAGATTTAACATGAAAAAACCATTTGTTCTGTCGTTTTGTGATCTGTACAGGGAGGGGGGGGAAGTAGGAAATAAAAATGTCACCCAGCCCAACCCATCTGACACTAAGCCATCCATAAAATGTCTGGGACCTGCGAGAAACAGCTCTCATCTTCTCGTGAGGGACCTCATGGTCTTTGCACAGCTCACAATTCAGTAAACAAAACACATTCTGTGTTAGAAGCCAAGTGGCTCGCTTTTATGTTCCTGTTTGTACAATTTAGTGGGTATGTGCATGAGCTTTTTGCGTGGTAACACTGCTGGATCTTGGTTCTCCTATCTCAGTGTGTGCCAGCAGCCTGCCTCTCAGATAAGAGGTGGCATGTAAGTTAGCAACCACTTAAATGCAGAACACACCTTCTTTCTCCTTCTGGATCTATGCAGAGTGAGTTTGTTTATTCTGAGGCTTGCTGTGAGGTGTATCTTTTTTTTTCCTGGCTTTTGTAATTAGGAGAGATTTTGGGGTATACATGTGTGAATGAAGAGAGGCACTAGCCTTAAATGCTTAGGTGACTTGGGAAGGCTGCATTGAAGTTGTATTTTGAACTAGATTTTCATAGCTGTTGTTGCAAACATACTGATCCCAGGGGAAGTGAGGACATTTATAGGCCAAAATAAGTGGATAAATGGCTGCTTAACCTGCATCTTAATGCCATAGACCTTCCCAGTGGAGACCTAGTGAGCTAAAGTATGCAGTTATCAAAAAGCAATTTTAAATGTAATGGTGCTCTCCAGTTGAAAAGACTCAACAACCTATAGTGCAGATGGTAAAAATGATCTGGGAATTAGAGTTCCAGAATAGAGTGTTTCAGTTTCTGAGGTTGTCAGTGTGATCACCAAGTTCACCCACATTTAAAAAGAAAAAGATAAGTTCCCTGACTGGAACAGGTTTCTCTCTCAAGTGCACTGCTGAAAGGGTGACAGACTTTGCCAGTCTGATGGACAGACTTTGCCAGTCTGATGACCCAGAGGCCTTTGTAAGGAATGAGAAGGACCACCTGTAATGACAAACCTCTGGCCTACTGTGTTTTTCACACCTGAAAAGCCTAAAAGCATATCCTCAAGATCAGCATTACTCTGTGCTGCCTCTCTTTTGAGTCTCTCTTCACCAGACTGATACTATTTTTCCCTGAAAGCACCAGCTCTTCAGTAAACTCTTCACGCCAGTTCATCCTCTGACTGCACTCATACATATGATTGTCAAATGTGCAGCACCAGAGTTTACCAAGAGACAGTTGCTTCACTCACACAGTGCATCCTCATCCTCAGGATTTATGCTGCCTGGGTAGTGCACTGTGGCATCGAACTCCTAAATGCTTGACAACATAGTATGCACAAATGAAGGGATGTATGCTTTATGTGCCTATTTCCATAAATCCCAGAGGTGTTAATGTGTTTTCATGTAGGTAACCAAAGCCTACTATAACTAAATATTTAGATTATATGGCTTTGAGTTCTACAGCACTGCTGGATGTAGTCCTCTCAAATTGAGTAAAAAGGGACTCACAAAGTAATTTTAAGTGTTTATCAAATACCTAAGACCGAACACATATTTTCTGAAAGTCTTCTTTAGTTTAATAGTGTGGCAAATAATCCTCACCAAATTTTTCCAAAGCTTTTCTGAGCAGCTACTGCAAAGTGTGCATTAACCTATATTCAGTGAAGCTCTAACACAAAACCTTTAAAAAGACAAGGTAAGAGACTGCGAAAGTTTATTTAGTAACA